CCAGTTTCCGCTCTGATCCCTGTGTTGGCACACGTGCTAGATATTCAGGTCGCATGTGAACTCCAAATGCAGTCAAATGGAATTCGCACAGAGCGCCATCGATCAATATAAAGGCTAAGAATGAACGTGAGGTGGATGGACAGAAAGGACGCGAATCGATAAACGTAAGTATTTCTGGCAATCTTCTGGAGGCTGAGGGCTTTATTTATGAATGTCGATGTTTCATTGGTGATTTCCTTTAATGCTGAAATCCAAGTCCATTTTCTTTGCCATTATTTTTTTTCTGTGCATATTGCTGCGACTGCAGGAATTATCCTTGCGGGCATGACGAAATGATTAGTTTTTATTAAACCTCGTGGTTCTGGACAAACGTTCCGACCTTGAATGTTACCTCTGCGACAGAACATTTTCAACCGTCAGCCTTTCTGCGTCGAGACTCCACGACCTCAGAGACTCATTGGTTATAATAAATGTGGGTGAATTAAATCCGTCGCCCGGTGTTTGCCCTAATCGTCTCATGTTACGTCGAGGTGACGATTTTCGAGCATGCACCTAGCTTTTAGTAACTTCCGTGAGTTCCCATTTTTGATTTATGCGCAAATTTTGTAGGTAGAGAAGACTCACAACCTCTTTTGACGGATAATGATGTCGATAGCGAGTGTGGTGTGGGAAACGAACATCCCGTCGCAGGCCAGTCAGATACGAATGACTTAATACCAGTGCCAGTCTCCTCAGAATTCGATGGCAGGTCAGGATTGCGTGATAGAGCTCCAAGTGTAAGATATTTTTTATTTGGCTTTATAATTTAGTCAAATTAATATGTCGCACATCAATCACCCTCTAATTGCCACTCTATTTCAACGGATTTTAAGGTAGCATCTTCTAACGACCCCACAAGGTGGGCACAGCAATGAATCGCGAATAAACTTTCGGCCGGCACTTACGAAAGATGATATAAGAGGAATATGTTAACTCACAGTGTTTCTTCTAGTGAAAAGTAGAAAACAGTAGAAAGAGCTAGAAAAATAGAATTAAGTGTAATTTCCACCTATCGGAAAAGTGATTTCATGAAAAGTGGGACCATAAGCGTTACTGTCCCTCAACTGTTCGGCATTATTCAATTTTACTGTGAGTTTGACGCATGTGATGAAGTGTGGATGCAACACAGTTAGGGATCATGAAACGTTGACTTCTCTTACACCGTGTCTAACATCCCACCTATCCACTTGCTATCGAGACCTTCCACTGTTTCACTCTCTACGCGTGATAACCAAGTTTCTTTGCATACTTAACCCATTGTTCTCATGCAATCGAATTAGGTTCGTTTTGGTTAACTTACATCCTGCACTAGGGAGACAACCGAAGCATGTACCATTGTTAAGAAGCCCTCCCAGTTTATCTTGTTTTACATTTGGATATTTTCACACGTTGGCAAGCTAGGCCAGGCATCGGTTGCCAATATTTGCCAATTTTTTTTCACTCCTCCCCCGTTTTCCGATAGTCAAAGCCACGGGACGTAGTGCGGGCCCGGCAACTGGTAGAAGTAAGCCTCCTTTCTACACGTTCCGCTCACCACCTGGTCCGTACTTTGCATGAAGCAGGTTTAATTCAGTTGGTCTCTGCATCCACATAGATAAGAATACCATTACGACCACATTAAGGAGCAATTTCGGCTTCGCCAACGGCAACTACAATCCACGACTGATGGCGCGTTATACTAGGTTCAACCTCATCAACTGTATCACAGTGAGAACTGCGTCCGTTTGCCATGATGTATTGTTTCCCACCATCGGCACCACTTTCTTCCCTCTCCAGCGCGCCACTCTACTGTTGTAGCTTGTTCAATAACTGATGATTAGATTGGCCAAAGTGGCTGGTGCTACGTAAAGGTCTTCATCCGTGGCGCGCCACCTGCACATACGGCAGTTGTTATGGACTCTCACAGACGCGGCGCAGCCCGCGTGTTAAGGATGTGTTTATATTTAAAGGAAGACGAGGGCACGATCACTGGGACGGTAAATTTTTTGGTCTTAGCTTTTGAACTTGAATAGGAGTTCATCATCAGAGACTGGTAGAGTTCAGAAACGTGTAAACATTTATACCGCTGTGCCGTGAAGAGGGGCTACGTCCGTGGCTAGGTCTGGTTCGTACTGCCTGGCCCACTATGGCCCCCCGGCGTAGTGACGGCGTTTGTCCTTCGCGGCGATGCGAGCTGCGTCACCTAGCTGCGTGGGCGTAGTGCGTGATAACACGCAGGCAAGTCAACGTGTCTATTGACGGAGTTGGTGCCGACACCCACGCGTCCAACAGTCCCCGCCCCGCCTTGTTGCCGCCCGCGCCAATATCTGCTTGTTGGCGAGGTCGAACTCCAGCGTGTGAGTGGCGACTTAAGATGGCGGGTCGTCTCTCCGAACCGCCCGTTTGTGCCCGAGTATTCGTAGGCTGAGAGGTCATCCTCTTTGGCCTGTGTAATGGCAAAAACAATTGTGGCACGGGTTTTGATGGACTGCGCCCGATTGCTCACCTGCACTCAACGGTCTCCGATGATGAAGTCCTGTTCGAGTTCGAAAGCTAAGACCAATAAAGCTATTATTCCAGTGATCATGCCTTCGTCTTCTATTAAACAAGAGCCTTGGATTCGCATATCCTCTTCCATGTGTTTATCTATCTGCAGAACGCGGTTATGTAAGGGACGCCTGCGCTGTGGTGTTTACCGTCGATTTAAATGCATGCACATATGATCGGATAGGTTTACACGGTATATGAATGTGCGCGCACAATGTGGGTTGGGGAGGCGTGCCTTACTAGCTTAAATCTGGACCGCAGGTACTGGTTCATCGGTCACGGTGGGGTACATTCGCAGATGATCGACCAAACTTCCGTCTGGCTTGAACGCGTGGTCGCAATGCGACTGTTGTGCTTGTCGTGGTAATGGACATGCTTATGATAGCGTTCATGGCGATGTCGGTTTTAGTAAGGGCAGTCACGGTTGTTCTTTGTGTCGCGACAGCGTCCCCACTTGTATTAAGACCATTAACTGTGGTCATGGCCTCCTGCGACTGCTACGCTGTGTTGTAGCCTTGAGAGTTGTAAGGTATGACCTCTGGGGTGTTGTTGGTACTGTGGGAGGTGAGTTAGACGGCTTGTAATGACGGTAGGTGGGTCTAGAGGTGTCTGGCTGGTCTAATTTGCCCCATTAACGCCAGTTAGTAATATGAGCAAGTTGTCCAGTCTTGGGCCTTTGTGACGTTGATTTGTCGCGTGATTTATTCACGTGTCTCCCGTTTCAGTTTGACCGCATTTCCGATTAACTTCGTTGGCTCAGTTCGAGTTGTTTACGGCACTGCGCCACACCTGTTAGTCCTGTGCGAAACCTTCCCGTTTCCTAGGCTTGCTTTACAGGTGCTTCAGGTAAGTTTTCGGGATGTCCTTGTATCGTCGCCGCTGTCCACCTTGTCTTTGAGCATTTGTAGCGACGCCGCCATATAATAACTATTGGATGTAGCGCCCACCGATCTTCACGATCGCACCTCCCAGTACGGAGTTAATACCGAGAACGCCGGATCTTTCCATGACGTAGGTGTATGAGCCCCTCTACCCCAATTCAACCTAAGTATCTTTTGAAGGCAACCGAGGTCGAAGTGGTTTCTTAAATGATTTGCTTGTGGAGACTAGGAAAGTTTCTTCAGAAAATCTATTTCATGAATCGATAACTACGGCATGCATCTTTCGAAGTCAGATTCTTAGTTCAGTATTAAGCAGTTTCTCGGGGTGTCCCTGAAGGTCACATTTATTGTTGCGTTTAAAACGTGTGATGCATTACATAGCCTGTTTCTGTCATCGCATTTTCCTGCTCCTACTGCGTAGCGGGCGGTTGGAACCTATCTCACCATGCTCTGGTGTTGATTCTGAGTAAAGTTGGCAGGCTTACTTGCCCTGTTCTGGACCTTTTCCAAAACCACATCACACACGAGATATGGGGACCACGCTATTGAACAGCATTCAAAGTGGGACTGAACAAACATAGTCTATATAGTATTTACTTTTTTCTCCTTGAAGTTAAAAGATCGTCCTCAAACGAACAAAAGTTGCCTCCGAACCTTGGCACCAGTTTGTAAGCACGGTTTTGAAGATACAAGGTTGGCGAAAGTAATGATTCCTTTGTCGACAGCCGACAGTCAGATCCGGTTGTTTAATCCATTCAGAAGCTCAGAAAGTGTCTGAGGCTACAGTCTGACCGTCGCTTTCGGTGATGTCCACCGTGTCTCCCACAGCAGGGTGGGCGCACGGACGATGACTTGCGTGTGAATTTGTTTATAGTGATAGTGGATTTGCACAGCACCTACCGCACCATCTTCTCTTTCCCCGCCTGGGCCCGTTGACAGCCAAAAAGACCGGGTTCGGAAGACTGCCCAGGTGGGAAGCATGGCAAAAACCCGCACCTGGGCGTGCCACCACATTTCTTGATTCACCACGTACAACTGACTTGGATTTTACACAACAAAAAAAGAGAAAGGGCTGGTTTGGGCTCCATCCATCACAAAGACCACAGGAAGATGGAGCCATTGCAGCCTCATTCTACGTCCTTAGAGGTGGACTGGTTTATTCTGTCAGTTGGCAGCCTTCTAAGCCACGGATTTTATCGTACCGTAATCTGCTCGAGCGCAGTGAGATAGTGAGTAATATGTCCCGAGACCGTCGGCCATCCCTCCCCACTTCCGACCACCAACGCGCCATTCGAGCCGGTCAAATGTCTGTTGCGGGGAGTGGGCGGGGTGGCTGACAGGGTTAGAGAGCCTGTCTACGTGCGCCACATGTACGACCTGGCTCCCCAAACGCACATATCAGGATCGCACACTCATGAAACGTCTCGGATCTCACTTGTGTGAGAGAGTGCCATCGAGAAGGAGTCATCGCAGTCTGACAGTCAGTCCACCAGTCAGCCACCCTGCACACAACTGGTCTGGCTGTGGCCTGAGTTGAATCGCCAGTTTGAAACCTTCCAGGCCATGATTTGAAGCGCACCGTGATAATCTCAAGTGCGTCAGATTGTTCATAGTGAAGAACTACGCTCTGAGAGCCGATCCCACCCCTCTATGCGTTAGTCGACTGTCGGAGCCGGTCAACCAACTAGTGTTGAAATTAGGGGAATGGGCTGGCAGAACTAAGAATAGCCCGTCTGTGTGTGCCACCCACGACCTGTCTCCCCCCATTTGCATACCCCAGGATTTCACACAGAGGGTAGATCGCTTAGATATCACATATAACAGAGGAATCACAGGAAAAGGTAGCCAAAAACACTTCTCATTTGCTCTAGGTGTGCGTATGTTGCGTGATGCTGGTGTTCATGTGTGGTACATGTGTTGTGCCCATGTCTTTGGTGATTTACTGCAGGTTTTCATGAATGCGCAGGTGACCGAATAAGCCCGTGCGATGGCTGCGTGTGCGTGGACAGTGCTGGCAATTGATGCGATGGGAACGGGTGTATGTTGGTGCTCCAGGCACTGGCTCGCCAGTCTTTCTGCAGTGGACTGACGAGTGACCCGTCGCCCCAATGCATGGCATGCATGTGCGGTGGCAATGTAGGCAGAATACTCTAGGAGATTCTGAGTCGGCTAGGGTCGTTACGCTGTTAATCGTGGCTGCGCTGGTGGGCAGGGGATGGGAGAGTTGTTGGGTGTGTAGGTTCTGCTTTGCTGCCGATATTGCAGTGAACTCCGCCGTCGTTGCTACTCATGTGATCAGATAGGCCCGCACGGTGAGTGAATGTGCGGGGACAGTGCGGACAATGAAGACGGGTGCGGCGAGTGTATGCCGGGGCTCCAGGCACCGGTACGCCCGTCGCAGTGCGAACGATCAATCAGATCGATGCTTGAGGTGACTGCGATCGCATTCCGCAGTTGACACCTCCGAGTCTTCACGCTGGTGTTTTTATCTGGAGCCTTCCGATCCTCCAGTCACCGGGCCAGTCGATTGCTGAAATCGAAATGACGAGCGGGAAACACTACTAGAACAGTACTTAACTTACTTGGCAGTCGTTGTCTTTGTAGTCTGCGGGGGAATTGCAGTCGGGGCCTCATACGATATGACAAGGAGGTGGTAGGTCCATCCGTCGGCGTCGTAGATAGCTTTCGCTACCAACACATCTTGTCGATCTCGCCTTCGGACGAGAACGTAGCTGCCAGCGTCGCGATCGAGGGTGCATCCAGTTCGTTTTCTTCCGCGTTGGAAGGTGAAAGAAGTTGTTGGTCAGGAGGACGCGTTCTGCTCAGGTTCGCGGGTGAAGGAGGCCGTTGTCGTTGAAGTCGTTGACTCCATGGGGACTCAGCACTCTTATCAAGGCACCGTAGCTTTTCTCGACGCGGGCGCTGAAGTTGCCAAGGAAAACGAGCCTGACCGCATTCGGCCCTGCCGCCATAAAGGCGTGAAGGTCCTCCTAGAATTCGTCCGTCACCTCATCGGAGCTGGTCAATGGGGGGCGTAGGCAGTGATGTCGGCTGACACTTTGGCTCCCCAAAGAGGCAGGCCCGGGGTAATCAGTCGGTCATTGACGCCCTGTTGCAATCGGGGCAGTCATCCCGCAGTGTCGTTCCGGATGGCAAAGGCAATGCCAGCGTCGCGTCGCTCTGCCTTTGGACGGCCGTTCGAGACAAAGTTCGGGCCGGAACCCACCTCCTCTATTCGGTCTTGTTCGGAGAAGCGGATCTCGCTGAGTGCAGCGATGTCCACCATGTAGCTCGCAACTTTCCGAGCAAGTAGCGCCGTTCTTTCCAGCCGTTGCTCCTCAGATTGTCTAAAAGAAAACGACCATTCTTGGCCGCCAGAGTGAGCGGACTCACTGTAGCAGCCTGTGAGGTGGAGCGGAGGGGATGGGGACGAGTTCTACAGAGGTTTGCATCTACGGGTCACGGTATACTTGCAGATTGCGTGATTTCCCAGCAGTTGTTTGGGGCGTATCTTCTTGCCCCTTCCCCACGAGGAATTAAACAGTGCCATTCCTTAATAGGGCCGCGTAGACATCCCAGGTCATTGCCGTGCTCTATTTCGGGTCACGGCTTAGCTTAATGGAAGAACGACCGGAGTTAGCTTGAACCGACTACAGGCTTTCATGCCGCCCTCTCCGTATGGCTTTTTGAAAGTGACCAGTACCGAGTAGTAAATTTATCGTTAAAGTCTTTGAGCACACTTGGCCATGTTTTTGCCGGCTGGGACTGAATCTGACTGTATGCAGCCTCCCTACGCCTTTGTCTCTCATCTGAGTCTTGACTTTTTGGGGTGATTGGTGCCGCTTTTGAAAGATAACTGTTAATCTCATTGCCATTGTGACCGGTTATTTGTTGTTAAGTTCGACGATTACTGGCCAGTGAACCTTAAGTTCCAAGGTTTCCATGCGTTAGATCCATGTAGTGATCTCGGTCCTGATTAAATTGCTAGGGGCTATCTTCGCCGTTACTTCGTCTGCGTTTTGCCCAAAATCCTCTACCTGTACTTCAGGCAGGCTTGAAAAAGTTCACGGCTCGCACTAAATTTGCCGTTTTTATTCCATCCCGCACGTTTCTTAGCTTGAGCATCGGCTGTTGCTAGCGTGTGGCCTTTTTGCATTTGTATAGTATCAGAGCATCCGTTGACTAAGGCTTCGTGTTTGCTATCTTATCCATACTCAAGGCTACAGTTGAGTGGACTTTCTTTGCTGCATAGACATTCAGTGAATAGTCTTCCCGACTGCGAACGTTCTCGTAAACATGCAGCTTTACTTTCTTTGATGATGCATGTTGGAACGTTTAGCCGCTTAACAGGGGATGCTGACAGTTTGAATTGGTTCCATTTATCAACGATGCCGCTGAATTCTTACTTTAAGCTTCGAAGTTCACTAACTAAGTCATACACGTAGATATCACATAACCAGTGCAACTTTTCTGGTTTCATAAAACAACTTTATTAACGCTGACGTGATGCCAAGGGTTACAACTACTGCACTGAATAAAAGCGTCTTCGCTGTTATGAAACATAGTATGTAAATCTTACGAGGGAATATTAATACGCGATTTTGCGTAAAAACCGATGATTTTCGAATGAAAAAGCACTTTTCTAAAGATGATAAGGGGAATTTAACGCAGGAGCACGAAATCGAGCATACGGGATGAGTTCCCTCAATCACTACGCTTTAAGAAACTACTCCAAACTCTGCAGCGTTTGATAGGCCTCAAAGTTGTAGAAAATGCCAGAAATGTATAGTTCGATCAGTTGTGAAATCTATCGTTTTTGGATTCAAAACTCGTGCGGGTTTTCGCACAACAGCCACTGTGCTCTGAAGATGAAAGCTACACTCTGTACTTGGAAGTTTGTTCCCAAGATCCGCAGAGTTTCCCAGAGTTCTTGTAACACAGGGGTCTTCCTCGCAATTAAGTAGTCTGTCGGAAATCTCATCCAGAAATTAGCACTTCGATTTCGCACTTACTCTACGTAAACCTCCTTCATGGTTTTTATATATTTCAACCTTTCATAAGAATGCCAGTTCTGCATTGTTTGAATCCCTGATGGCGCGCATAGGAACTCTATAATATAAATGAGAAATTAACCACTTATTTTCCCAAAGGCTGATGCTCTTTGCTTGTCCCGTTACCTAAAACTCTTCATTGTCTTTAGTCTATCTGTTTAATTATAAATAGCATTGTTTTGGAAGTAATTTCCCAAAACTTCCCCGAGGCAAAGTTTGCACCACTATTGATGAATTTATCTTCCCCCTTTCTTTATGCTAAAAGGGGAGTCGGTGCCACTATCAGTTCGATTTCATTAGATCTTTTTGAAAAGTCGAAGAAAATTCTACACCCATGTTCTGTTTCACTACTCATTTAAGGACTGTCCCGTACACTAGTTATTGATAAAAGTCATTAGATGTAAGCCTTCAGTTTCAGTCGAAAAATTAGAGCACCTTTATTAAAGGTATCCATTTTGCACACAGGTTTGGCGAAGCTTCAGTTTTCGTACGCTTTGGGCGTTTACTGGTCCCGGTTTCCTTATGAGCATCGCTTACCTTGATCCAGGAAATATTGAGTCGGATCTACAGAGTGGAGCAGTGGCCAACTACCGGGTAAGCAATGTGTTTATTGTTTTTTCAAAGATAAGCAAAATACTTCACACCCGCTAAGAGTCTTGTCAACCATGTACACATACATTAAGATATAATTAATTGAATTTTTTGTACATTTAGCAATCAGTTTGCTCTTTCTAATCCCAACGACAGCTTCTGTGGCTTTTATTCTTCGCCACTCTGATGGGACTTTTTATGCAAAGACTAGCCGCAAGACTGGGAGTTGTAACGGGGAAGCATTTGGCCGAACTTTGTTATCAGGAATATTCTCCACCGGCCCGCATTCTGCTCTGGATTATGGTAGAAATCGCAATCATCGGTTCCGACATGCAGGTAATTTTTTGGCTTTTATGTGCCTTATTCCCTTGACCATCCATTATTACCATCCCACGCTTTAATTAAGATCGCGTTTTTCATTTTGTGTGGGTTCACACCGATCCATTGGCTTCAGCTCTGTAGGGGTCGCAGAGACCATGAAAAAACAACCAACTACCAGGCCGAAAACGGCTGAGTTATAATAGCGGGGGAGAAAGAGAACAGAGAATGCGCGCAGATTGATACAGCATTGTTTTGGGCTTATTTTGGTGGTCAGGACTAGCATTGGCTGAGTGGGGGCATAATAAAACCGAAACACAGCTGTATAAACTTACCCGCATTTTTGTATATATGCATATATTTGAAATAAGTAAGACTCTTTGGGAACAAAATAACCTTGCTTGCGTAAATTTTTGAGACTGATCCCCCACCTCGTCCTCAGGCTATGATTGCGCAAAAACGATTGACTTCTTAACCGAGTCTAACAAGGGATTCTATGATTAGTCAGCGTTTGTGTTAATGCTGTTAGTTGCAATTTGTTACTTCTTCGGGATTCGTTGCATCAATTGGAATTAATTCTTAAAGATTTTGTATATGGCATCTAAATCGGTATGCCGATTTATGCACGCCTCATCTACGTTCATTGCTTCCAGGAATTCGCGACCTTTCCTTATTGGGCAGGCGCCAACAATGCGAGTGTTCTCCCGCGCAAATTTGTTCCCAGTGTCCAGTGTGTGCATGGCCACCTGATATTGATGGTCGCGTCTCTTCACCGCTAACTGACACTCATGTATACGGGTTGAGACAGATTTCCCAGTCTGATCACAATAGACGGTATCACAGCTGAACCATGAAATTTCGTAGACAACACCTTTTCTGTCGAGGTAGCCAATCCTGTCCTTAGGGGGTGTACTAGCTGTGTGCGTAGGGTAGTTGCCATCTGGCATGCTATGTGTATCTGGTGTTTTTTTATTTATCTTTCGACTAGGTCAAATACATGTTTCACGTATGGGGGAGTTCGCCAGGTGATTGGTTTTAGTGCCAGAGCGAATGTAACACTGGAAATACCTTGCGGGTACTTAATTTCGGAAAAATAATTTGTAGACGTATTTCATCTCTGTTTGATAACTAGTTTCCCAAAAGCAGTGAGTTTTGGCTGTGGACCGCACACCGTTTCTGAGAGACAGGATGGTTGCTCTCAAAATGTTCGATGACCTCTGAATATGCCTCTGCGATAAACTGATATGTGTAGTGGTCCATCAGTTTTTCGACGTACAAGGACGTCCAGGAATGGGAGTTGTCCACCAACCTCCATTTAGAAAGTAAACTTGATTACCAGAAATATAGATGGAGCAGATTCAACTGATTTTTCCTGACTATGACAAAAGTGTCGTCTAAATAACGCAGCCAGATTTTTTAGTTAACTGTAGGAAGGGCCATGGTTTCCAATTTCTGGACTACGGCCTCTACCAGGTAACCGGATGTAGATGAACTCATGGGAGCGCCTTTTAATTGCCGATAGCATTGCTTGGAGACGGAAGTCTGTGTCCAGGCAGAAATCTAGGAGTTGGGGAAAAGCGTCATCAGGTACTTCAGGAGTGTGTGTTTGAAGTTCTTCGGGACAGCTCCTCGGCAAATCTAGCGGAATCGAGGTGAAAAGCGAGACCTCATCGAATGATACCATTATCTCATCACATGTAACGCTGACTCCTTTTAATTTATCTAAAGACTTTTGAATCTTGAATGGAGTTCTCGGGATTCTTCGTAACTGGTTGTTAGTTGGCGAAACAGTCACTTCGAGATGCTATAGTTGGGTGCACTGATTCAGGAGACTATCAGTCCCAGTGGAATATCAGTTTTGTGGACCATGTCGTGAACAAGGTCAGCCAGCCTCAATCGCAGAGTTGCTTTAAATGCATTTCTCAGGCCAAGAATTTGTTGTCCCTCTCAGGAGTTGCATTACCGTTTTATATTTTCTGTAAGAAAAGTATCCTCGAGTTCTAAAGTAGACCCGGCTACAGTCTAAATGACAGGGGAGATTAACAAAAGATCAACGCACTGACGATGATAGGCCTTTTTCACGCACATTTGTTTATGACACATTCTCCCCAGTGTATATGCCCGATCCCAACCGACAGACCAATCCCGTCGTTCAGTGCTTAGGGCGTTTGACTTCTAACCAACAGGTTGCGGGATAAAACCTCACGTTTTGTACACCTCGGGGTTCGGTACGGCTGGCTGGCAATGTCTAAGAAGCCGGAAATGGCCATTCCAGTGTCCCTTTCAACGGTTTACAGGAAGGCAACGAATACCTTTCCTATCGAGAACCTGTAATGTATTTTCGTACTGGTAAATTTTACGGACACTTGGATCAATTTCGCCCATGCACACTATTTTATCAGGCAAGAGAAAATTTTTATGTAACACTGCTAAGCTTTGATTACTATCGGGCATTTAGGGCCTTAAACGACCTGCACTCAGTTATGCGTTCATAAGTTTAAAAGGTAAATTGAAACGCCGAACCTATCAGAATACGTAACTTCGACGCATCATGAACTTGGAATGGTACTTGGAAATTAATTTTCAACGGCTGAACTTGATTTTCTAATCACCATGTTTGTTCATGCCGTTTTTTAAATGTCTGGACTCCTGGATGTGCCTTCTACTTTCCCAGGCTGCCTACACAGCAAGATCCTTTATCATTTCCATCGCTTCATCTGCTTTGATCTTTCTTCAATAAACTGCAACGGGAAGGGGGTCAAATGCGTCGCCTCGTCTTTAGTATACCCTTCGACTAGGCGATAAATTTTCCGTTGACAGCCTGATACGGAGTTTCTAAAACAAAAGCTGATTATGGGCGCTTTGATATTTGGAATCATGGTGTCTGATACACGGAACTGTGTTCCCTGCAGGTACTGCGAATTCTGATCATCCAGTCTGTGATGAAATAATGACATGGGCTAAGGGAATCCGAGTAATGATCTAGATGAAGTCCTCTATCTGGGAAGCCGTTAGAACTACCACGATCAGTTGGCATCTTGCATGAAATGTCTCTGCCTCACGATCTTTCTTCGCTGACGCAGTTTACTTGCCAATAATCCACATAGATTTGTGATGAGGACTATGAGACAACCGTTCATTCTGATGCAATTGTGCAAAACTCGGCTGCCTTAGTGAGTTTTGAACCCACTACAGCAAGGGCAGGGCTAGAGTACAGCCAACCTAAGCTACGAGGCCCCACTTGAAGTCGTGAGTTCAATCACATTTGGGTCAGATCACCCAACCACTACTGCAACGTATGAGATCGATCAATTCCAATACAGTAAGTTTACTGCCGAAGCAGGATTTCCTAGGTTTGGAGGATCCACGTTGGCCCAATCGTGAAGAGAACTACGATGATATGCATGGCCGGGACGGTTGAGGGGTTTGTCTGACAGCAGCACATCACTCATAGGACTGACGGCAAAGGGCGTGCCCAAACCACCACAGGATGCATTTGGAGCTGCAATCGTAACTTTATTGTTGTTTGTAGTCCATCAGCACTAGACTGCAAAAAAAAAATTAAATCCAACCTTGCTCTCCTAAACCTATCTCGAGTCTCCGGCCTGCCTGTAGATAAAATGGGTAATAAGCGACCCCCTGCCTTCCTACACCATCTAACTAGTCACGTTAAACAGGACTGCGCACCCACCGACCCATTAGCTTCCTGACACAGACCACCTCCGAATAGGTGGCAGAAGCCACTAGTGGCCATCCACCTGCCAGCTTGAACTCAGCCAAGCTATGGCAACAAAGGAGGGGGGGACACTTATGAACATCTGTTCGGCGAACTGCCTATGACCCTCCTGATGGACTCCGTCTCCTAAGGATCATTTTGGAGTTGACGAACGGAGTATCTTACTTTGGTAGCTAGTTAGATATTTCGCTAGGTATGACCCCTTTTAACGTTTACTTCTTCGCCCTCTCAATTGTACACCGCGCTGAACAAGTCAGTTGTCTTGAACAGGTTCAGCCAGCCTCAATCGTAATGTTTCTTTTAAAGCGGCACACCAATTCTTAAAATGCATTTTCGGACCAAGAATTTCTTGTCGTTCTGGTAAGTTGCATTACCGTTTTATGTCTTCTGTATGAAAAGTATCTTCGAGTTCCAAAGTAGACCCGACTACAAAAGATCAACGCACTGACGATGACAAGCCTTTTTGACGCACATTTGTTTATGACATATCCACTTTTTTATTTTCTTCTTGCTGTTGGCATGTTATATTCAGAATATCATATGCCCAATGTTCCTATGGTTACTTCTACAGGCTAGGTAACTGTTCCGGGGTTAATTTTTACTTCCAAAGCACCAAATCAAGGCTGATTTATCTTTCTGTAGCACACCTCTACGTTTACCATCGACACACCAACTCACAATTGTTCTTTTTAGTTTTATGCCGTTTTTGCTGATCGCGTCGTTTAAACTGTGTTTTGTAACAGATGCTACTTCTAAAGCAAATACACATGGGGAATGGCTTTAAAGGAATTATCATACCAAATTGCTTTTTTGACATTGGGGACTATCTAGCGCTGGCCAGTTTTTCTATTTTGTTTTCTGACCCTTCTGCCGAAAAGACCTCACCGGTTCCTTGCATCGCTCAGTGTTTCGGGACACATAAGATTCCACGACGTAGGTCATTTTTTGCTGTAGCTTGTGACTTTAGGCATCTCCTTCCAATCACCATCCTGTTGTTATTTTAGGAGGTAATCGGCACTGCAATTGCCATTAATCTCCTCAGCGTCGGCCGGATTCCTCTCTGGGGAGGCGTGCTTATCACCGTCGTCGACACCTTCACCTTTCTGCTAATTGACAACTATGGTCTTCGCAAACTGGAGGCTTTCTTCGCTGTTCTCATATCGATCATGGCTGTGACCTTCGGATACGAAGTGAGTATTTATAAATAGTCCTACCAATTAACTTAGGCCCACAGTGAATTTACTTAGCATTTACTTTTTACAGTGATGTGAATGAGCCCATGGACTCTTCGATCAAAACTCTGTATTTTTGAGTGGTTTATTACCAGGAGTCTCCCTTTTCTGCATAAACGTTTTCAAAATTCAAGCTTTTCGTGTCCCAATTTAGCTAAATTTCAAAATACCTGTTTTCCAAAGTTTACTGTTAAAACTTTCTCTCACCCGATGTTAATTGTGCGATGCTACTTAATGAACTTCGAGTGCCTTTTCCCGCGGGAGTTAGAATTTTCGGATCTGTAACGTCAGACCATTATAACTACAGGACAACCATACCCAGCATTTGCCTGTATGAGTGAAGAGTACCTTACCGAATCGCCATCAAGCACTTGCAAGGTCGGTCCTGCCTACAAACGAATCGTAGCAGTACCTCGGAAACCTCATAGATTAGTATTGTGACAAGAGTGGAATTCATGTGCCTATAGTGGCTGAGTTTTGTTCCTAGTACTTGTGCTTGGCACGAATGCAATCTAGCCGGCCTCGATTATGTCCCGAACTGTACCTCTCCCCGCGTGACGATACGCGGCAGCAGATCTGGACATTTTCTTCGTCAACGACGGAGACCGAATACCTAAGGTCCGGGAACCACCTCCATGTCTTCACAAACTGTGTCGAAACAGGCTTTGAGGTGACTATCTCTTCGACGCCTCCAATAGGGTAACGGTTCCGAATCGAATGCAGTAACACTGAGCTCCTGAGGTGGACAACGAAGAACATGCTCAAACCACCTCAGTCGTCTTTATTGGATGGCCTGGGTTATCCTTGCGATGTTGTCGTAGCGAGTGCGGACTGTGTCATTTGAGACGAAGTCGGTGTACTTCACACGAAGGATGGTCCTAAAGCAGTAGTGGTGGTCAAATACCTCTAGGTTTCACTCGTCCTCCACTCGAACAGCCCGGCATTCAAAACAATAGAGAAGGACAGACCGGACAGATGCACAGTACACGCGGATCTTAGTGAGGATAGAGAGGTCGCGTCGGTTCCACAGACATTTTCAAGGCTTGCGACAACCCGTCGGACAGCACCACTTCGGGAGACAATGTTGTCTTTAGTCTCTCCATTCGGCAGCGGCAGCCTCGCCCCGAGGTATTTAAAACTGTCTACCTCTTCAAGTTGACAGCCATCACTCCCGTGGGGTGCCCTCTCCTGGTCAGGGTTGCAGCTTGAAAGCACTGTAGTCTTCCCAGTGTTTATGGATAAACCGACCGATTTAACGACCTCGTTCACCCGTGACACCGTGGACTGCAGACCACCAAAACTTGACGCAAGTAAGGCGACATAATCGGCGTAGTGGAGATCAGTCAGTCGGTGTCGAGGTGCAAACTCTGCACCATCACCTCCGTGTAGGGCCCTCGTGAGAATCCAGTCAATAGCGTAAATGAGCAGAATGAGGGACAGGGTACAGCCTTGTCGAACGCCAGCCCGAATATCAAACGGTTGGGAAAGATCGTTGCGGATCAGAACTTGCGCGATGGTGGAGCAATAATAGGTCTTTATTATGAAGAAGTTTGTTGCGATGCTGGAAGCACATGCTAGTGTTGATATGCACGCAGCTCGTCTCTGGAAGCCCCTTATTTGAAGGTTGTTGTCCCCATCCCCTCCTCCAGTACGCTAGATAAGAGTTACGAGGTCTCCCTAGACAACATATGAAACCTTGCTTACGGGCAAACACTATTAGACTTGTTATTATGTCGCTTTGGCTTGTGACCTTACAGTCACCAATTTGACAGATCAGCCTCCAGCCAGGCCTGTAAATGTTATTGCTCTATGTTCCGCAACCGACCAGTCATCAAGCCCAAGGGCCTAATTATTTCGCGCGACTAATCTCCGCTGACTGTTTTTACACTATCTGCTACCTATGAACGAGCTGTGTGGCCGCCGCCTAGACTGGCAGAGAGACCATGTTTTTCCATGGTCTCATCTTCTGGGCCAAATCATTGTGTCTGAATGTTACGCCTAAATCCACGACAAGTAGTGCAAACGAAACAACCAATTCAGTGCGTAGATTTAAAGAACTGACAAGCCTTGCTTCCGCAGGCGGTTCTCATTTCGAATGAAAATGATGAACAAAATCGTGGTCTAGGGGTCTACGTTTTAGTTTTTTGGTCCGTCTCCAATATCCAGGCAAATACCCGTGCCAGATCCTTTCAGGTTAAGTCAGACAGTCACAGCAAATAGCATGTTTAGTACAAATAGACGTGTTTTCGCTTTCGACTGGTTGTGGTCTAGTCGAAAGAACATTTTGAGGTCTTCCTTTTCCGCTAAATTCTGCAGTTTTTTTGAAGACCGTATAATTAGTAAGTGCCGTTTCCCGAAAATGGTTTGCACGTTCCGTCAATCAATGCCGCAAGGCCATCGATCTTTTCATGTCTCTTTAAACAAGGTGCATTGTAGTACGTCAGTCGGAAATTTTTCTTCTCGCCTGAATGATCAAATGTGACCTCTTTGAAATGCCGTCTTGGCACATTCCTAGTTTTCTATGCATCGTTTGCTTCGATCTGTAACGTTTGAGGAAGGTGCAAGCCTGTCTTCCGCGACTGCTCTCACTTATTTAGTAGGGTATCAGGCTGATTGTGACATTTCAAAAACATTCTTCGTGATACGAACCTTCAGCAGAACAAAGGCTCGCGCTTGTTGTTAGTGAGAAAAGGGAGTACTACCTGGATAGGGTGGTAGGGCGATGCCGGTTCATAAGCTGCAAACTACTGTTTATCGTCTGACGATGTTCCCGGTCTAATTGTGCCAGCAGGTCAACAATTAAGCAGCAGTTAGTTTTCCTTTCGTTTGTTATTCTCATGGCACCAGCAGGATCGACAGGAAAACGTATGTTTAGTGTTATTTTGCAGGGGGTGCAGTCTTTAGAAGATTTTATTTCAAAGGATGTAATGCATTTGAATACCCTCCCAAAGTGGCAAAGGTATTTTCGTTCTTCCCGTGTTTGGAGTGACTCGCGTTTTCAAACGTTGGTCGGTATAGAGGCATTCAAGAATGGAAGGTATTATTAGCGAGCAGATGCAAGAAGCCTGTGTATAGGTGGGTATACACTCGGGCGCACTGTCTCGGGATGCAAAAGTCTCGGCTGTTTTTAAATTGAAAACTTTGTTTTCAAGTCACATTTCATAAAGGTGAAAATGCCAGGACTTTTTAGCACAATTAACACACGTGTTAGGTTAACATGTAATTTGTCTCATCAAAATGAAAATATTCTTATTGATCTAAAAGGATTTCTGCACGCTTGCTTCGTTTAAATTCGTATTAGATGCTAATATTCTGTCTAATTTGGAATGCTCGCCAACTGGATGTTATTGCCACAACCAGTTAAATCTGAGATCTGACAGATTACGTGCAGCGGTCTTCATAAGCATTCTAAGTAGTTCTAAATATTCAAACCAGTTTGTACAGACAAGGTGTTCTCAATTTTATCCACTTAGCGTACTCTCATCTGGATCAAGTCGTCATTGGTGGGTGTGAAGGTGGTGCGGGAACCTACTGGACCATCGTCGACCCGGGAGTTGCGTTCGAGAACACTCTGCGCAAAGTAAAAGTAGATGTGCTCGCATATAAAATCCATGGTAGAGTGAAGCCGCAAAGGTCGAAGCGTCGTATAGGGAACGAATACTGTAGTCATCACCGGGTTTATCGTCGTAGCAAGGGCCTAGCCGCACGCGGCAGTCGGTTCACAGTGTGGTTGAGTCTCACTGGCCACCCCATCATCCAAACGATGGCAAAAATTCAGAATTGTCAGAGGAGTGAAGTCACTTTGATAGAGGGACAAAAGGGTTGGATTTTTCTTTGTCTTGTATAGCCTTCCGACGGCGTGTTTAGCAACCACGAGTCGCGGCCAGCTTGCGGATGGCGTGATTTGTCACCATTTGTTTACGGCAGAGCAGTACTTCCCTGAATAGGATTACTCAAATAAGTCGCACTAATGTCCACGACTTTCGGTCGGGGAGAAAAATGGCGTGAATTAGTTTGGACCGTTTGCAGGATTGCTGGTTCATTCTCGCGTTACTTTGAGTGTTAAGGACGGAAAGTCAGAGTCGACAGTTATGATTGGCTAGGCTTAATGCCTCTGTTTAAGCGTGCCACCACACTTCTGTCTCACCTTAACTGACTCAACCAGGTATTGAGCTTCCAACTGCACGGTGCGAGCAAAGCGTCGCTGGTTGACCTCGTCTGGTTTGTCTGCCGGCCGAAGTTGTTACAGAAGTGTGACCTCTGCGCAGAGCCACAGATGAGAGTGACGAAACGAGATGAGATTGAAACAAAGTTGCAATGTCCACCGGGTCGATCGATGTGCATGGCATAGGGTCACCAGGAGCAATGACGACAGCAATATCAGCCACACCGTTTTTTCAACTTGTATTTTAGTTAATGAGGGGCTCATGGGACATCTTAGCGTTGATTGCGAAGGCACCTAAGCCACTACTGTTCGTAGCATAGTAATTTTACCCTAAACCTCAGAGGTGTTGTTATCAGCTCAGTTGAATGATATCTTGCTTTCAAGTCCCCTTAAATACTTTTCGGTACTTCTATGCAGAAAATCAATTCGGCATAGCTGACATGATTTTTTAGTCCTACTGAAGTCTGAGCAGAAATGTCTAATCTAGAAATCGGGCCTATTCCAATGTGGCATCTATCCACTGCTCTTACAGACAAGTTAGCAACCCGACGGATTTTGTCCTGCTATGTAAATCCCAGACTAATATCCACCAAAAATGTAAGTACGCGCGGCCACTTTCATCGGCCTGACTTGTTTGTGGCTGCTTTTCAGTCTGCACTCGGATAAAAACAAACTTGCTGGAGTATTTATGCTTTTGGCTTGCCACCGCGACACCTGAGTGCTGCGGCATGGGTGCCAAATCATGATTTCAGCCAGCGCTTTTCTAGGTAGTACTTCTGTCTGGGAAGAGTAAACTCTCAAGAACAAGTGGATCACCTGCCAGACTTCATGACCAGTTAGATATTCCGTCGACTATCCGAGTATGCACCACGCCACAAAAGTTGCATAGAATCACAAGTAACTCTCTATGTTAGTTGACCTTATTCCTGAGCTATTTTCTAAATATTTTCGCGCCTAATTGGTATCATGTCGGCGGTGGTGACCATCGGGTCGGCGGAGGTAGGATTAGGCACTGGAGCGTCGGTGCTGCACGCCTACAAGGTTCTTCAAGGCGCCTATTGACGATCGTCCTTTAGATCTGTTCGAGGCGCACCTAATTTAAAGCACAGCATTTTCAACATAACATCCGGTAAGAAGAAATCTGGACTTTGAAAACTGCACAGTTTGAAGCCGTAATCGCTTTGCTGTTAGAAATAAGATTGATCTTGGAGCGACGCGTGCAATTTTTCCATAATATGTTTCGTTTTTTTCTCTTCTTCCTCCTCCTCCTCCTCCTCTGCCCACCAGTACATTGTTGTAAAGCCGGATCAGGCAAAGGTCTTTGAAGGCTTCTTTGTGCCAGCCTGTCCAAACTGCGGTTGGCCTCAACTGGAGCAGGCAGTGGGCATCATTGGCGCCATTGTCATGCCGCACAACTTCTACCTTCATTCTGCGCTTGTCAAATCTCGTGACGTCAATCGAAATGACGGTCGCTCGGTAGGCTTTTATTGTTAACTTTGCCCTGTGTATCTGGCTAAAAAGAAAGTTCTTCCTGTTTTTACATCGCATAGCAAAATTTAAAGAAAGAAACCAATGCTTGTAGGTATACTTAGTGATAGCTGTATCTTCTATAACACTTCAATGAGCTTAGTGGGCAACGATCGAGTGAAGGATCCCAAACGCACGACCAGCCAAAGGTGCCCGTCTTGCGGGAAAGGTAGTAATATGGCTTTTACTGGCGGGCCTATATATGCATAGTGGAATGGCAAAATAAGCATAGATAATTGGTGAATTTGTTTTTCGAGCGGAAAAGTTTTAATGCATTGACGTATAGCAACCGAAATTAAGCAATACGATTAAAAAAAATAAACATGAAGTGTCTACAGCGATCGTTTCTCAACTCTCTGAGCTGAGGTCATTGTAGATAATGCACCAGACAGTCTACAGCAGACGACCCAACCCTGTACGATGAAACATTGAACCGAAATAATCGTGTCGGACTAAAACCCACTTAAATAAGTATAATAGGTATTCCTTATATGCCACAGATGTTTGGGGTCCTTCACCCGATCCTTACCGCTTAGTGATACTTGGTTTGCATAATGTCTCAGTATTTGAGGAGGAAAAGAAACCAACTCCTTTTCAACCTGGTCTCATGACGCGAATCATAGTCCACCAAAATGATGTTACAAAGTCCCAAACAGACGAGAGTTCGAAAGCAGATCCATTGTGACTTGCAGTGTGCGGAGGGATTTTAGCGTGCTAAAAAACAGTTCCCTTCATCGACACCAAAAACGGGTGTTTTTCCACTTGGTCAGCTCTAAAAAGGCTAAGTTGCTGGCAATACACATCAATGTTGGTTGTCTAATTATTCTCCAACAGTTCATTATAACTGATCGCTTAGATATCCCACCATACACTCAGCAAGATCTTTTTGGAACGAGAACCTCCTCTTAGTTCCTGGACTGGTCGGTCCTCACGACGTTTACCGTTGTTGTAAAGGACTTATTTATTTTCACTAGTAACTACACTGCTCAGAAGCGCTTTCAGGCGCCGAAGTTACCTTGCCAGCGATCAATGTCGTATGTACATAAATATTTTAATACAGGGTACAATGGCATGTTTTGACTCGAATTGTGTGAGGTCCAACAGCACACAGAAGTTAATAGGAACGTGCTTAAAAAGACATCACTGATTGCCTGACTGAACTAGAGAACACAAACTCCCTTGTAGAAGGATTGTAACGATAAGAAATGAGTGCCTTTAAGACAGGATCTTTCAATTCACCCTCAGTTGCGTCTGTTTTTTTTAGATTCCCAAAAACTTGGCTATTCTGTTTTAAAACAGGATCTTTTCACAAAGCATTTTGTTTACGCCAAAATCCATGAACGTAGGACGCTTCGTTTTCCTGGCTATTTGCAGAACACCCAGTAATGTACTCTTTTTCTGACCGCCGAATTTTCAACGTATACGACAACTCTTAAAAAGGGCTATTAGTAATTTTCGAAAAAGGGCATTTGGCTACCTCATCTTAGTACGTAGGTACCAGAGCTAACATTAGGTGGACGATACACTTTGGCGTTTTCAGTGCCTCTCCGTTCCTTTCCCATTAAAGATTGCTGTGGCCAACTTCTACTTCTTCTTGGAGGCCTGCATCGCCCTTGGTGTCTCGCTGACTATCAACGTGTTCGTGGTCTCTGTGTTTGCCGCAGGTTTCTATGGAAAGAACGTAACGGAAGTAGTAAGTCCGCCCATGCTCATCCCCATCTTTTGAAAGCGCACATTTCTCGAGAACGTTCAGCCCAGCAACTGCCTTCTACATGCACTGCTACCAATCGGGAAGAATTATTATGCCATTAGGCCCAGACACATTTTACAAAGACCATTCTAAGTGACCGTAGCCGCCCCGCATCTTCCACTCATTACATATTTGTCTGGGGTCTACCTGGTGAGGATTTGCTAATGCGGTCTACATGACACAAACAGCCAAAACCCCCCTGCCAACCTTGCCTTGCTGTCGTGGAATCTCCGAAGACTTAGCATTGGTCAACAATATACAGCAGGCGAGGTAACTTATGAAACCTAATGACCGAAATTCATGGGATAATTTTTGGTCACCTCAGACGCCATTCGCGTTGAGGGAGAAGTCCATTTCGCTCGCTGAATATGTTTCTGAGTAGTTTGGGCGAAAATCAACCCGCAGACGATTTCCTGTGTTAGTCCTTGCCTGAGACCTTTTTTGTGCATCATCTACTAAAAGTCATTAATGTAAGCGGGAAGCCTTTAAAAAATAACATTCCAGCACCTGAAATTTGACCGCGCAATCTTCTACGAGCAGGACACTGCTCATAGAGACTCGTGTTGATGCCTGCATGCGTCGGATGTTGGACAGTTGTCCGTCAGTTCGGTATGCAGAGGCCATATCGGATTCTGGCAGGCGTTATCGGATTTGCGTGCCATAACAAATGCCAACATTTCGGGGTGCGGTGGCAGACCCGATTTCCGGCGGACATTGCGCACACTGGGACCGCTCTGCCTCCCATTGTTGTTGTGATTGGTCAAAAACCTGGTCATTTGCTATGTGGACCACAGGGTGTGGAGTGGAGCGCCAAGGTGCGAGCTCGACCGTGCCATTCACCTGTGCCCTCTCCCGCCTCCGGTCTTCTTCGCTCTGTCTCGACACCGAGTCCAGTTGGGAGAGGATGAGGGAGTGCGGTGGATGCTGTTCAAGTCCACTGTCACTGTTACGCACAAGTCACCCTCTCTGCCCTCACCTTGCTGTGGGGCACACAGTGGACATCGTCGGCAACGACGGTCGAACATGAGAATGCGATATTAATTCCTGGTAGGCGTCCATAAAAATGGCAAAAAATAGTCTGCAGGCTCAGTGGGATTCGAACCCACGTCAGCAAGGGCGAGACTTGAATAGAGCCAACGCTCTAGCCACCGAGCCCGTAGTTTTTCACAACTGGGTCGGATGTCTTATGTAAATCGGCCGGAAACACCTGTTAATTACGTGAGCATGGTGTGCTCTAGATTGCTCGCTTAGGAAATCCTGCTTGGACAGTCGGCTTACTCTACCAAAATTTGTGTATTCCATACCTTGCAGTAGGTTGGGTGGGTAATCGACCCAGATGTAATCACAATCACAGACCCCGGTCAGGGCCTCTTCGCTCAGGTGTTTGGAGGGTCAGTTTTACTCAAGCCTTGCCCTTGCTGCCATGAGTTCGAATCTCACTGAGGGCGTAGATTTTCTCACATTTGGGTCTGACAAAAACAAATATTAATTAAGATAATACTCACTTGGCTTATGTGGTGTCTGTTCTGTTTCAACCGCACTAGAGTATCTTACCATGTCCTTTCGAGTTGAAATGCCTATTTTATGGTGAGCATTTTTGCGATTCCTCGAAGAATACTTCTATAGGTCTGGAAATGCGCGCTTGTCAAAGCAGATGATTGATTGGTAACGTTAATGCGCCACTTGATGGTATATACTTACGCAGACTTGCCTGCTTATTCACCTCATTTTACCTGATTTACACTGACTGGAAAATAAGGTTCCAAGTTTGCGAAGATTGTGACTACAAATGTTTTGTTTATATGGATGCCATCTACTAGAGAACCACTCAGATGAACACAGATATGTTCTATGGGTGCTGTTAACGTATAAAATTGCCTGAATATAAGGCAACATTGATACTTGCTCTAAATCATAAACTTTTTCCTCAATAAGTTAGGCAAGATACATATTCTGCATGTGCAAATAGGCTTCCTTCATGACGCGCCAAGCTATCAGGCAATGTGTACAGTGTTCTAGTAACCCCGAACGGATCATCTGGATTCCGCTCAGCACGTTTCATCGCTGCGCATGTGCACATGAAGTTTGTCGCCAAAGTCTTTCGGTGCATACCTCAGCGCCGCAAGCGTGTACTATTGAGCTGGTTTTGACCGTTTTCTTAAATTTGCCGCCCACTACCCGTAATTTCGTAATTTTTGCATGGGCTACTGCGTATCGGACCATCCTATGAGTGATGCCTTTTTACGCTTTGAGATCTGAGATGATCTAACACACTTTAAACAACAGATTGCATCCGTATGTCTGAAAAAGATACTTAATGTTATGCTTCTAAAATTGTGACTTAGAAAGATGGATGAGCCGGTGCCCTTTTTCCTGTCCCTGCATAAACACAACCAGCTTTTGCTCCATTCAAACCTCTAGCACGAGGTTAATCTATCGGTGCAATAGCATGACAAAGAGAGTAACGGTAAACTGTCTTTCTGTCATCATTTTTACTGCGTTGTCGCAAACTTTCTTATCTCTCTGTTATGGCGTAAAGTTTCTTCCCAGATTTCCACGCACCGTTGCTAAAATCATTGTAAAGCACTCAGTTTAGAAAGATGACTTTTCGTCCTCTCAGTTCCTATTCAGTGCGCAATCTTTTGGAATAACTAAGCACCTGTAGTGTTTTTTCAAAAGTTTTAAGGAAATTCAAAAAACTGCACTAGTCACTTTAAATACTGTCAAACCACGATTCGTTTATGCGAGTCGGAACCTGTCTATATAACAGACTAAAGGAATTTTAGTTGTTACAAACCTGTAACCGGTACTCAGGAACTTTCACTCGCATGCAGGCGGAAATATTACCTGCAATGACTTGTTGGTTACGCTTCATGAAGCCACCAAAGGCATATTGCTCGCTCCGCAGTTGGAAAAGAGAGAAATGCTGCCTACAACGAGATTGCGTCACACCTTTCAGGCTGTTGTATGCTAAGGACCCACGTGTTTAGCAACGTTGGCACGGCGACAGCAACCGCTGCACACTTTCAAGAGAAGCCTGCTCTGTGGTGCAGATGTCCTCACTGGTAGCCGAGAGAACGTGTGTGCACTGGACTGCAGCATAGAGTGACTATATTTATGCCAGCTCCTACACAGAACGTCAAGACCATGCCATCCTCGATAATGTCGCGTGCCAATCCTCAGCACTGGCTCTGGAGCGCTTGATCAATCTTCTCCCCGGCGATGGAGAACGAATACATCAGCTCGACCGTGTGCCTCAGCGCGATAGGTCCGACTCTTCCTCCTGAGAGGACCCAGTTACCCTGTCAGTTTACAGCCTTCTAAGTCGCGGCTTTTGACGCTTTGTGGTAGTTTAAAAGGCTATCAGTTTGTTTAAAGTGAAGAAATGTCCTAGTTAACGGTCGGGGCGGAGTTACCAGAGTCGACCTCATTATATTTTCTCTTTCTCATGGACTAGTGCGCTAACCAAGCCGGTCCGCCACTTGAAGCTGAGGTTGGACGCAAGTGGCTGGCGAGGCGTCAGCCTGAGCCCAGGTATGCCGCCACAGCTCCCCATGTGTGACATTTGTTATGGATGCACAGTCCCGATAACGCTTTTCGTGCCTGTGTTGGTCCAGCGCATCTCCCGCGTGACCCATTTGTGGGGGCCATAAAACGAATTCAAAAAGCCCAAGAACCACTTCTACGTCTTAGCCAACTGTGTCGACCCGGACTTTGATTTGCCCTCTTATTCGACACCTCCAGGTAAGCAGTGGCGCCGGTCAAGACCAGCGACAATGAAATCATTAGGTGTCCAAACCACCTTAGTCGTCTTGCTTGAGTGGACTGAGATATCCTGACGGTGTTGTCGTAGCGAGTCAGTGTACATACTTTACGTGTAGGATGGTTCTCAGGCAGCGGTAGTTAAGCACCTCCCGTCTTCGCATGGCTTCCACGCGCACAGTCCAGCATTCATAACTGCATGTGAGCTGACCGGACGGATGTCCGATGTAAGCGGATCTTTGTGGCGATGGAGATATCACGTCGAGTACGGGAGACGATATTGTCTTTACTCTGTTCATTCGACAGACCCTTCGACCCGTGGTACTCTAAGCTGTCTACCTTTTTAATTCGACAACTGTTAATCCCAGGGGATGCTTTCTGGTGTCACGCGGCACCACACTGTTATTCACCAGTCCGAGGTCAGCAGAGCGGTATAGCCAGCGTAGTGGAGACCACTTAGCCGACACCCAGTCGCAAATTCAACACCGTCAAATTCGTGTAGGGTCCTTTTTCGAATTCAATAGCTGGCGTAGTTTAATAAAATTGGCAGCAGATTACAACCATGCGGAACGCCAGGCCGAGTATCGGACTGCTGGGAGAGGGTTGTGAACCAGAACCCGCGCAGTGGTGGAGCGATAGTAGGCCCTGATCACTTCTTAGCATAGCGTCTATTTCCATTATCCACAACAGACGACCGTCACTTGTTGGTAGCTATGAAAAAATTCAAGAGTGTGCGATGGTGCGTAGATCTGGTTGGCATCCACCCCCAACTCGGAAGTCGGCTTGCTTGGGTTTCGTTCTCGGATCTTGCATGCTCAGAAATCTACAAGTGGCAATTGCGAAGACCTTTGCAGTATCGTCAATGAGGCTTATGCCGCGGTACCTTCGTAAGTTCCTTTATCTCCCCTCTTGAAAATGGACACGATAATGACCGATCTCCAGTCATCAGGAACAAGCTCGTCTTACAGTTGCCCAATCACCTCCTGGAACCGGGGCGCCAGTGTCGACACAAGTCATGTAGACTTCTGTTACAATACCGTTTACTCCGCGCACCTTGTCGTTGTGCAGCCTCCGTACTGCATCATCAACTGTGTCCTTGAGTAGGAGAGGGTGGGAGTCACATAATACTGCGTAAGGTGGAGAGGGATAAAACTCGGACTCAGAGGAAGGCGGATGAGTGATGAATTTATTTTTTAATGTCGGAACGCTGCCTCAAATGCACATATCATACATGTACTTGGTACATCTGCGATCATGCCTGATCTAGCTGGCCTCGATACTGTCCCGAATTGTACCTCTCCACGCGTGACGATCCGCGGCATCAGATCAGGACATTCTCTTCGTCAACCACGGAGGCCACGGCATCTGGGCCGAGTCGTCTGATAAATTCTTCCGCCGACCCAGCCATTCCGACCATGGTCTACCACCATCGTTTCAATACTAGGTCAACAGATGTTTGTTGCGGTGTTGAAAACACGCGTGGTGACAAACAGTCGATTCTGGTCAGCAGTGTTCAACATTCACCATTATCGCATCAAGAGCTGAGCCCAAAGCGACCACTAAGGTGACTGCTTGACGAGTCGCCGGCTCCTGTCTGGCCATCTTAGTTTTTGGCAATAATCAGCGGATCATAGCAACGGAATCCTTCAACTTCTTTCTGCAAATTTCTAGGAGGTTTATTTATCGCACTGGTCGGCAGCTAATGTTACTGCGTACTCGAGGACGACAGAGGCTTTCGTAAAATAGCCGTTCAGTCGCACGTAAGCCAGTCGGCAACCCACTGGTTCCCACGCAAGCAGTGCTTCTTGTGGTTGTTGAGAGAAGGCGATCGCCATACTGTGTCTGCCAAAGAACACTGCGTAGACCTCTGGTATAGGACCAAGTGGGAGTTGACCTCAGAGATGTTCATTTTCGAACGCTTGGGTCGAGGATTCTGACTTCGTACGGACAGCAGGTATCCATGCCGCGCTGATGAAAACCGCCTGCCTTCAGACTTTGGTGTATGATTACCCTGTCCCGACAGAACTTTCCCTGTAAGTTGCTAAAATTCGTCTTACTTATTTCTTTTTGTCGCGGACACTTTGAATGGGTGGTAAGCCCCGACACTGTCACTGTCATGTATATCAACTTGGTCTGGGCCACGGTTCAGCTGGGATTGCAAGACAAATTTTGCATGTGCTAAAGTCTCCAAGTTGCATCGATATGACCTTTCTCTATGCACATTTTGCGGCCATTGCGACATCATTATAAATGTTCAAAATGATTGGTCATCCGTTTACCATCTGATTGATTTTCAATTTGCTTTTAGATCAGCAACTGTTCTGACAAGCAGGCGCTGCCGGCTGTCTTTATTGATACAGTAAGTCGCTCTATATGATCCAGTTGCAGAATTTATCTTAGACATGTGGCTTCCTCTAGTCCAGAGTACCAGCGTGCAATGTTTTGCGTCTTGCCTCTTTCCCACAGGCCAAGAAGTTTGACCCGACACAGGTGGATCTCTACACTGGTGTAAGTCTTTTGTTGTCTCCTACTAACTGTAGCCAGACCATAGCTCTCAATCGGTAGTCCCTGTTTTCCTTATTCGCTGCGCCTGATTAGAGCCGTTTTTCCACTAATTCCGACTAGGGCATTTTTCTGGGTTGCGAGTTCGGCATCGTAGCTCTGTTCATTTGGGCTATCGGCTTGCTGGCTGCCGGCCAATCGTCCACGATGACGGGCACCTACGCTGGTCAGTACACTATGGAGGGCTTCCTAAATCTGCACTGGAAACAATGGCAAAGGCAACTTCTCACGCGCTCCATCGCTGTACTTCCCACTCTCTTTGTAACAGCCTATCAAGGTAAGCACATTTCGCTGCGTTCGGTTTTACTACTCACCACTTCACCCACCGGTAAATTCCCGTCCTCATACTTTCGTAGATTACGTATACAGGAGTCCTTTCTGTCCTTGTATGCGTAAAGGTCTCAGCAACTTTATCGATAAATGCAGGGAAGTTGTAATGGCAATTTCTGGTTTATCTTCTCCTCGCATTATAGCCGTACATCCAAAGGAGAGCTGGAAAGTCCTAAGATTCGAATCCGGATCTGTAGCTTCCTAGTCCATATATCCGGTCAAACCTGTCTGCTGGCTGATGGCTGCATTTGGACCCGTTGGAAAACTCCCTTTGTTTGCTACTTTGCTACTTGCCTGGAATGCAGTGCTCGCATTGTCTCTATATTTGGCGTCTTCACTTTTTTTTAAAAATCTGATATTGCTTATTTTTACCCCCGAAACGAAAACACCCAAGTTCTTAAAAGTGCAGTTTGCAGGCGTAATGTTGTTAAGCAGCATGTTTCAGTCTCAGCACACTTCAAAACAATAATTTCCGTAGTGAAAGTTGAATCTACTCCGAGCGAAAACGCTGTAACTTTGAAGGAGCCTAAAACGCGGACAGCATTGTACTTAGTGTCGAAAACATGCCGTGTATGATTTTCTCGTGGTCTTGGAAAGCAAACACTTATCGCTAGTAGGTCATTAAAAGGACTTGAGCAAATTTTCACTATAGAAGGCCTCATCCATTTTTCACTCGCAGTGTTTTATCTGCATTTCAGGCATCGAAAATCTCACAGAAATGAACGACTTGTTGAACGTTCTAATGAGTCTGCAGCTTCCCTTTGCAGTTATCCCCCTCTTAACCTTTACCGGCTCAAAGAAAATAATGGGCAGCTTTATGAGCTCAGTGTAAGTTAAGCATTTGCACTTTATTTCTCTTAAGGGGAGAGCTTCTTGCCTTACGACGTGTGTGCCTTACGACTTGTGCATTCATTTTTGCTTCAGTCCCTCCAAGATCATATCATCGACAATATCAATGGCTGTGATTGGCGTAAATATGTTCTTTGTGGGCGCTTTTATCAAGGCTCGTGTGCCTCCTCATTGGGCCGCCTACGTCGGCGTGGCTGTGCTGGTGATTGCCTACCTCTCATTCATTGCCTATCTGGTAAGACATCACTTCAGTTTTTGCCCATTCCCACACCTTTTGTGTACATTAGTCTCTCCTGAAACTGGATAAAAATAGGTCGGAGGAGCGTACAGGGGTTTGGCGTGTTGCACAGCTTCCTCTCTGGCAGGCTGCGGTCATCGCAGACGTTGATAGTTCGCGTAAGGATTGTTTTGCGACCTTTTCAGCACCTCCTCCAGGTTATTGTTTGTTACGTTCTTGCCGTAACGCTTAGCTGGTGGTCCGTTCTACAACTCTCCGCGATCGAATCCCCTAATAAGAACTCATAGCAAATGCGGAAGAACAAGAAGTCTATTTGCTGTGTACTAAAAGGCGAAAATCTGGCGGTACAAACAGAAATGTCCGTGGCCAGCTAGGAGTTGAACCAATTAGACAATGCCCTTGATCTGTTAGCATGTCGACTGGGCTTCTGATCCACCTGAGCGGCTGGGCAACCATCCAGTCCTGCCTGTGGCCGGCACGATATCAACACGCGCACGCGTGCGAGCGGATCGATAGGACGGCGTGTGAGCGCGTCGCTAGGGCGGCGAAAAAAATTGTGGACGCTGTGAGCGTTCTGGGCAGACTTAGGGACGGTCCCCGATGGTGTGGTCTCCTGCCCGAGGGTAGTCCATTGCCCACTGCACCAGAAAAGCCCCATGCGTCACCAGCGACTAACGTCGCCCACTCCGCGCGTTTGCTTGAACAATCACAAGGATGCCACCTTACCGGAGTTGCCACGCTACTGTCTTTAGCAGTATGCGGTGGCGATTTGCGGTTTGGAAACCTACCTCCGTCTTTATCTGGGTCCACTTTCCACCAAGCCTCTCGTGGCGACCAATCTGGATCAGAAGATTGTGGTTCGAACACAGAAGCTGCAGCCGCCGGATGATAACGAAAACGCCAGTTGTGAAAAAGCATGGTTCGTCGGTTCGCCGCGTTCACTCTTCTCTATCGCCAAATTTACTGTTCGGAATCTCTGCGTGATGAGAAACTTGCAAACGCAAGCCCTGACAGCGGTATCGGGACGGTTTATCTACTCCTCTGTCAGCCACCAACCAACATCTTAGTGACAATATGGCACAGAGGTGGCGTCAGCTGAGTACAGATGTGTGTGCGTGTGTGTGTTTGTGTGACGTCGAATAGTATTCGCCGCTGCCATCCTAACTCGTACGTCCAAACACCAGTATGGAAAGGACGGTCCTTGCGGATTGAAAGAGAGAATTTGGATATCTGTAAGAAGTCGCTTTTATATCAAGTTTTATCTAGAACCCAAGGTTCTATCCTCAATGATTTTTTCTTTATTTTGAATTTTTTCAATCACACTTTCTACCTGTTGCACACCTCTCTTACATAAGCATTCCCTCCCTCTGCAGGCCTGGGTCGCGGTTTCGAAAACAGAGCATTGTCGGTCCAGGGTGAGTCTTACTAGAGTCGCAGTTTTTACTTCAACAGGTTGTCTGGTGTATATTAGCTTTGACCCAGATGAAAACTTGACAATGCAAATGCAGTGAACGTGTTTTTCGTAAATCCCACACCTTCTAGCATTTGTTGCATCACTAGTTTTATCCATTGTAAACACTACAACTACATTTAGGAACTTTTGCAACTTAACTACTTTAAGTGCATATCTTTACCGATTAAGTGGATTTCTAAAGGTTTCTGTCATTTACTGTAAATATACTGACTATACAGATTGATATACATGTATATAGGTAGAATGACATTATCAACAAAAACAAGGCAGACTGGAATGGCCACTTCTGGCTAATCAACCATCGTCAGCCTATGCCTGATAGTTAGAAACCCAACGTCTCTAACCACTGAGCCACGGACTCGTTGTCATGTCTATTACGATGGGGTGTATACAATTGCTAAGGCACAAGGGGACGAGTGAGTTCTGCAGCGCGATCGGTGAGCGCCCCTCTACCATTGTACATACCCGATCTCAACCGACAGGACGAGCCCGTTACTCAGTGGTTATGGGCGTTGGACTTCCAACCAATAGATCGCGGATCGAGGTGTTGTCTACAAAATCCCATGTTCCAATTTTGGTGCCGTCTATTGTGGCCAAACTGGGAAATCTGTCTCGAACCGTATATATGAACATCAGCTGTCGGTGAAGAGACGCAACCATCTATCCCAGGTGGCCGTACACACACTGGACAGTGGACACAAATTTGCGTGGGAGAACACTCGCATTATTGGCGCCCGCCCAATAAGGAAAAGCCGAGAATTCTTGGAGGCAGTGCACTCATGAGGCACGCATAGGCCGGCATATCGATCTGAATGCCACGTGCAAAATCGTTAAGAACAAATTCAAAGTTTCTCAGCCAATCTCGAGGAGATGACAAACTGCAACCAACACGTTTTGGCTCAGACTTCAGCCAATCATTGAATCCTTTGCCAGACTCGATTTAGAAGTCAATTGCATTTGCACTCGCGTGGTCTGACGACAAGCTGGTGATCCAGTCTCGAAAATGTACACAATAGAGCGTGCTGTTTCCCAAAGAATTCCATCCTAATATAAACACTCGTATATATTGGCAGCGGGGGGCTCAGAGGTGGTTTCTGCGGGATTCACTCGTCCCGTTTTGCCATATGGGCTCTCTCGAGCCCAACCAGCAGGCGCATGATGTAGGCGGAATGGTATTACCCACAAAGACAAGGGAGATTGGAATGGCCATTTCCGGCTTATTTGCCGTCTTCAGCCAGCCATACCCAATCCCGAAGTGTTGGACACCTGGGGCTCGATTTCGCGACCTGTTAGTTAGAAGTCTAACGCCGGCTAATAAGCCAGACATGGCCATTCCAGTCTCCCTTGTCTTTGTCCGTAAAAATGGAATGTCTTGGTGCAACGCTGCAGGGTGATTAGTATTGCAACCCTTCTAAGGTGACCTTTGGAATTGGAAACACATTTGAGAATTTCAGTCAACATTGTATTAGATGGCACATCTACTGTGCATTGAGAAAGAAGAGGCTCTTTAGAAAAGGTCGAGCCATACTCGTGAATTTTGAAGTTGGCGGAACCAACGCGCCGTCGGACGGGCCGCATTGGTGTTTGAGGGCATTCAAAGAGATAAACGTCCTCGGGATAGCGGCGGGATGTGGTGTGCGTTGTGTTTTGATGGATGCCGTTGGCGATGGGAGAGCTGTGTCACACTTATGGCTACCCCGTCGGGAGGCGGTGAGATGATAGTGTGTCGGCGAGTTTCTACACCTCCGTGCATGCATTATCAGCTGTCGTTTTTAGGGTGGTCGTCGGTCAGTGAACCGAGATCGGAGACGCCCTTTGATTGCGTCTAGGCCAACCTGGCGTCTGATGCTGTCCATATCGGAATACCAAACCTCGAGAAATTCCCACGCTTGTTTTATGTTAGCCTTGGCGATCACTCCATTACCGGCCCAACAGAAACCCGGTCAGCTTTGTGAAAAACTGTCTCAGACGTCATTGGCAACTATAAAACTCTCACTCTGGGCGAGAAACGAAAATTTATCATCCTGTACTAAGTTCTAAGAATTTCCGAAGTTATAGCCCGAAAATCAAACCGTCTTTTTCATCTCTGTCTTCCACGAGTCGGCTTCCTCCATACGCACAGCATTATCCCGGGTAATACACCCCACACCCAAGGAGCGGCAAACAGGCGTCATTTATGGCATCTCATGCGCAACTGCCCTTGCGTTTATGTTGGCCGTACGGGCCGAACCCTTAGGACCCTCATCAACCCACACGATCTGGCTATCTGCTGACGTGACCCCTTTTTAATCGTGCTTGGGCACGCCCTTGTGTGTGGCTACCGTTTCTAGTGATTGAAGAGCATCACACATGATATTGTGCACATTCTCTCGGACAGGCCACTGGTATACGACAGAGGGAAGAAAGAATTAAAAGATTAAGCTCGGATCCAGCGCCAAATGCCCAAGCGTCTTGGCTTTGGGCGAGGCTAAAGTCCATTTCACTGTAAACAAACTAACGCGCCAGCCACGGCTGTACTATCCTAGTTTGTAAACTTTTATATGAAAATTGTTCTCGCAGGCAATATCGCAAGCCGTTATGCACGAATATACGGGCAAGAACTGGTAGCTCGGAGGAGTGATCCCCTCTCATCTCTCCCCACTTACGCCGTACAGTTAGTTTCTGAACTTTACTTCACTGTCACATGCATAATGGTGGGTCCGCTAACAAGTCAGGTGGAGAGTTGCAGATGGCCTAGAGCTCTGGCAATAAATCCATGAACCGGCGAATCGTTCTTTCTTCCTTATGCATGTTTCCCGCCAGATGCTGTGACCAACCAAGGCAGAATTTTCACCACTGGCGAACTTTCGCACAGTTCATCAGTCTCAGGCTGTTTCAGCGATCGACTTCCTTTCAGCAAACATCCTGAAGTCGAGTAGTGCCCTACCCCGAGCGCCTGCTCCAATGCAGGGCCACCCGAGTGTCTAAACATACGCACCAGGGCTCCCTGGCATTCGTCCACCCGGCTTTCCAACCGACCAATCAGATTCCAGGCCGAGTCAGATGCGGCCTGTCCTACGACCCTGTGACGCGTCCCCTCTGACACTTGGCACGCCGTTCAGCCGACACTGGACGTGCCCTCGTCCGGCTGCTGACTATCTCCAGCGGCCGCTCACGTTGTTCTGTACAGAATATACTATCCTCCCAACTGGCGTCCCACTTCTCTTTCCATTCGGGACCGGGCCTGAAGGTTGTGGTAGCCGGGGTCTGACACACGGCATAGACTGCTGCGATAGTTGCATCTCCTAACTGTAACCTCGTTTATGCAGTTTCTTTAAATTGAAGACGTATATTCTATTTATCGCCCCGGTACTAATGACAGATTGAGATAATTCAACGCGGATGGGCGGGGCATGGCCAGAAGTTTTGCTTTGCGGTCAAGTTCGTACGAATACGGACAATGATTATGCTGATAGTGATGTTTCTGTGCTCCTCTGCCGGATTTGTTTGACTGTCTGTATATGCCGCAGTTTGCGTTTCCGTGCGCCCGGTTGTCCGGTTAATAATTTGGTTAGAGCAGTTTATGTCTCTGTAGATGAAACTTGACTGTTACTGGAAGCCTTTATTTCTTCTGCCTGCGCACGTGCTGTATTTTGTCTAAATTTTGAATAAGATCTTTCTTCTCGGCTCAAGGGAGTTACATTTCGGCGGAAAACCTGATTCAGGTATTGATTGTCTGGGTACTTACCTCTCTTTAAGACGATTTTGCTCTTCGTTCCTTTGGGCTTTGCCGTGCCACTTCTTGAAGTGCCCTTTGCACATGCCTCGCTCCTGCATCTCGCCGTTTCTACCCATTCTTTTTTCGACCTGTTGGGCTCTGTTGTGTGACTCTTGAAAGTTCTTCATATATCGCGGCCTTTTTGCAGTCGCAACAACGGCGTTCGTAAGTTTTTGCATGTACTTTTGCTCCTTCTACACCGCCATAATCGTGCACCAGTCCGATCTGTACTTCCGTGCTTTCGTCTATTCTTTCCGATTCCAAATTATTTTCTCTGCCCGACGGAATTCGTAGCTTGCGCATGCCGGTATCTTGCCGTCCACCCGCTAGAATTTTCTTTCAATTAAAACCGTGTTTTGTCCTGTTTCTTTTTTAGCGTACTCGGATACAACAGCCATCCGACATGCCGTTTGAGGAATTAACCCCGCCCTCAGGGCTATCGGTTCCGATTTCAGAGCAGGAGATATATCTTCCAAGAGCCAAAATTCCTCACTTACTGATTTGAATTCTTGATTTCCCTTTCACTTGCAATATTTCCTATCTGCTGTGCCTTCTCGGAGATCGGCATCATCCACTCCCCCGTCCCCGTGGGTCCTCAGGGTTCCTGCCAACTTTTTCGTCTTTCATTTTTCCTGCGGCGATCGGTCAGCCGGTCTGGTTCAACCATAGCCGGATTCTCGCGAGCTCTGCGCTTTCTCATATTCCCCCTACCATGCTTGCGTGGTTTTCTATTTTGCTATTTTATTTCTTGGAAGATCCGCATCCCATGTTTGAATCGTGCATAATGACCCGTGTGAGAGGCCTCCCCTCCCCCTTAGGTCTTTTGTTAGATAAAAGCCTAGGAGTTTTTTTCGTTTCGCACCAGAGATGTGTCGGCTTTGTATACTGATTTTTGCTCACATATGTGAACATATCAGCTTTTGTACGAATATAGAACCGGAATCAGCCTTCGAATGGAGTCTTTTACCTTCGTAGTTAGTAAGGCAAAGATTGCGTCTTTCTGTAAGCGATCAGAGCGTCGATCCTCTGATTAAGGCTCGGACAACACTGCAAGACTGTTTGGTATTGGCAGTCAAATTTTCTTCGTGTGTTAGATCCATTCAAATAGGAGTTAAGCCTGGGAAAATAGTGCGTCCGTCAGTCAAATCAAAAACTGGCAGACTTTTGTCTTGTCGAGGTTTTCGGTCTCGTAAAAATGCACGAGTTTTAACTACTGGTCACCACCTCGAAATTACTGGATGAAGGGAGCTCGGCGTCCTCGGCTCTACTGCTACGCCCCAGTGGTCTCGTCGGTCATGATGATGCACAAACAAACAGCGGAGAGCTAAACATATTGTTTAAGGGTCAAATCAATCGTCAGAGCAGGTAAACCTCAGCGACATGTGCAGAGGTGAACACAAATCGGCCAACAGCATGTGATGACCGGTGTCGGTGGTGGCCCTTATGCTAATGCGCTTTTCGTAGTCACCAGCTCCTAATTAACACAACGCTGATCGTCCGACCCCGCCAATTTTGCCAAAGTTGTGACTCCCCTGCGCTTTCTGCTCGTTTGACTTAGTCCGTACCCGTCTATTGTGTCCTGGCTGAGTCCATTCTGAGCCAGCTGTGCTCATTTAATCTCTCAGCATGTAACCTTCCACGGCTGGGTTAGGGGTTGCGTCCATGAACATATCTGAGGCTGACAGAATATTCCCTAGAATGGTCACTTGTGGGATGGAGTTTGTAGGTGTTCACAGATCAGGCCATCTATGATAAGTACGTGAGTGACTGTCGCAGTACGAACGCACGCCCAGGCGTACCAACACCCCCCTCCGCCTCCGGTCTCATACAAACAACGAGGATTCCATGCAACAAGGAGGGGGACAGTTCGCATTTCAACTGCGCTGGAGTGCCATGGAGGTCGCACTAATGAGCCACTGCAGCCTGACCCCGTCCGGGAAAGTGGGCCAACGTATCCCATCGGCTTGAATTTCGGTGTTTGTCTGAACCAAACTGCCAGATATAAGTGTCCGTTTTTTGCTTTCAATCAACAAGAAAGTGCACTTTCCGCGAACCACAACTAGGTAGACTGCCAGCTTTTGCGTTTTTGTAGCAAATATCACCTCTGACACAACGACGCCATATGACTATGGGTCGGAAGAGCACGCGTGGTGAGACCTGCACGAGGAGCCTATTCTCAAAGTGCTTTGAGTGGCCTGGCGGCAGTTGACGTCTAGCTAGCTATGACTAACAAGCAGGCTAGTCCGATTGCCTTGCAAACGTTCGGTCTGCCAAAGCTGTTGGAGTTCCGTTTTCCGCACCTTATTTTCAGATTAGTTGATTTGAACGCACTCGCCAGTCAGGCCGAGAAGCCGACGGATGATCTCGAATTGATCGACTTTGGCCAGGAACCAAGGCCTCTGTCCTACATAGGGTCGGGATATGGCCAGTTGGCATTCCCTTCGCAGAAATTGTCGTCATGCAAACGAAGTTGCAAAGTAAAATTAGACCAGTATGAA